TGTATACTATTAAGTATAGGAATAGATTTCCTTTCTCTTTTCTTTCCACCTAGCTTAGATTATTTATTATGAGAATGAGTTGTTAATGCTTGTGTGTCACTCTACCCTTGGATTATCTTAACCCCTGCTTAGAATATGATTATCACAAGTAATATATAAATTATTAGTCAATCTCTCTTTACATGATCTTCCCACGGGATAAAATAAATACGATACCCTTGGAATACTCTCGGGTTAAATGCTACAATGGTATATCCGTGTGCTTGCGGATGAACTCTGTAACCATAATATACCAGAACCAGAAGTATTTCTGCGTCATTGCTTGGAATTATATTTCTACTAATGTCGTCAAGAAATACCAAAACCCGTGAGCCGCTAGCCGAGCCTTCCAGGCCTAGCCAACCGACTCGTTTAGCCACGCACGCACACATGATTGCGTTGCCGCCTTTATTTCGTGTCCTGGCACAGCGCGCGTGTCCTGCGCCGTGTCAACCACGCCAGGATTTGTTCGCGCGAGCAGCCTCCGTCCCGTGCGCCGCCTCACTTCAGCGCCGTGTCGGCCTTGTCGCTCTCGTGCGCCGCAACCGTCCGCGGGCAAGCCTGACGGACACAGCGGGCCAGGACAAGCGCCATACAGCTCCTTTCTTCTCCCGTGAGCCGCAAAGTGCTCCCGAGCACCGCGGTGCACCGGACCCGCCTCGACCCCGTGCCTTGTTGCTCCTCGCTGTGCCGATCGCACATGCGCGCAACAACGAAAAAAAATTGAAAAAAATGTTTTTTTTACCGAAATCACAAGAATATACTGATTTGGGAAAGATTTACGTAAATATACAGCCTTCTCTCTTTTGTTTAGTGAGACGGCGATCTCGCTTAACGGCGGCGCGAAGGCAATAACACTATCGCTAATCAAAAAGCGGCACCGCTAATCACGCGGTCTCGTGCTCCAAAGGCGCGAGAGCGCTTTGGTCTCGCACCTATGCTATGCGCGATACCGTGGACATTATGGGTACCACATACCCACACAGCATGGATATTTACAAGGGATAGTCTATATGGGTAGAATATGTTTAGAAAAGGATTCGGGAATTATGTTAACTTATATCAAGAAAATATCCTGTAATCCTAGTTGGTTACTATTGTAATATATCTATAAGGTCTAGTCCGTAAGGAACAAGGTCTGTACATTGTAATCCTGGCTGATGAGGACATCCTTTCCAACGATACAACCATGCCTATTGCACAGTAAGGACCAATCACTAGAGCTCGAGCTCGTGAACTTAATTATTAGGTAAAGTCGTTCCTAGCTAATCATACAAGTGCTTATCAAAATTGGGTGCTACTAAGTGGTTGTTGTGATCTACTTGTTAGGAATATGAGAGAGGAACCAGATCGCAAACAGCATAAGCAGCGTTGATTTGGTGAAGTCAATGCTCTTCACTCCGAAGTGCGATGGGGCAAATGAGTACTTGTTGGAAAGATCTCGTCGTCTACTTTCAACTATGTGTGGCCTCAGCATCAGATTCCGCCCAAGCTGCTCAGAATGGCTAAAATAGTTTTCGCATTAGAAACTTGGGCTTGGGCCTTGTATCTTTACAGCCCATTAGAGGTCCACAAAAACTAGGGTTTTCTTCCACCTCCTCTCCTGGTCATCCCTCCACCCATATAAACCCTAGCAGCCACCATTTTGCATTTTTTGGGTTTTGTTTAGATGCAAGTTTAGTTTCAGCTACTTGTACTCGCGTGTGTCAGCTAGACCACCCGGATACTTGTATTCAGAACCCCATATTCGATTGTTTCAGTTTCATCATTTGACAAGTGTTGTGAGCTGTTTCCTTTTGTTAACTTGTTCTTGCTTGTTCTTCGATTGCTTGTAGGTTCAAGGTTGTTCTTGGCACGGCAAGAACAACAACAACGTGGAGTCTGTGTACCGGTTGCTAAGGCGCAGCACCCCTGTGGTAGTTGTAGTCGGACCGCCAATGTCGTGTCCTCCCCCAAATCAAAGTTTATTGTAGGGTCCCGAAACTAATGATTCGGTAACTGATGTATCAAGCCCTGGATCAGTAAATTGATACAGATTCAACAATCTGGATCTTCATTGCATACATTTGGACAAGATTTCAAAGGAAATTTCTTTACATAAAATAATAGGGTATTTATAAAATTGTGGCTAACTATTACAACAGAAGCTATAGAATGACCTAACAAAACCTAGCTTCTAAATCCTCATAAGCTAGATAACAATCAAGTGCTTCTCAAAATCTTAGGCCATGTTTGGGGAGCTGTTAACGACCAAATTTGGTAAATTAAGCATCGGAGATGGAGTTAAAACCGAAGCGGAATCAAAAGGATTGACGGTTTCGGAAACAGAGTGCGCATCGGCAGAGTTCGAATCGGATAAGGTGGCCAGAACAGCCGATGAAGCCGATTCCGACAAGAAAAAGATCAAAGTCATTATCAGATTGGGTTGATATGCTTAATGAGTATTGCCACACATGGATTGAGTCCGAAGAAGGCAATTGTATCTATTAATTAGGATATTTTATGCAATTTCCTTATATTTTGAGTCGGTAAGAGTTCACCTAAGGGACTTGTTCGTATCTAGAATTGTAATAGAGATAGGAGTCGTGTCTGACAAGGACATATTATGTACTTTTGGTATAAAAGCAAACCCAAACCCATGTAATCAGATAACAATCAGTTCAACAACACTTTCGGCGCATTGCCACCCTTTTACTTTCGTTTTGTTTCGACGAGTTCTTGCTTTCGAGTTTGGCTGCATCAGTCTAGATCTCCGACAAGAGGTAAAACTTGTTATGACGGCTTGCGTTCTCGGGATTAGTGCTTCCATTTTTATGACACTCTAATCTTGTTGATGTAATTCGTCGAGTTATCATATATTCTATATAATCTAGATCATTATTGCTATCTAACCTTGAATCGGCTAACATCTACTAGTGGATTCCAGCCGATAAGGTTAGATATCAACGTTGACTTAGATTATATAGTGTATCTACCATCTCGAAAGACTTTCATTGACTTGTTTAGATCTTATACTTCTCTTTATGCTTAATGCTGCATCGGTTAGGTCCGACCTATTAAGTAATATCTAGAATTATAATATCTAGCTTGTTTTATTATTGCTATTAGAGATAGTATCGGAGTTTCAGCCGTTCTTACCTGATCTTGTTCATTATTTTATGTACTTGATATGCTAAATCTGCCCTTTATATCAAGATCTCACTGTGGTAAAATATATTAAGCTTGTTATTAATCTGTTAAGCTATCTTAGCACTTGATTGATTTATGTTTAATATATTTTGCTTATATTGATATCTTAGTATAAAGTGGTATCGGAGTATTAGCCGATACACGTTAAATCTATAACATCGGCTATGCTATAAGCATATATAATCTCTGTTTTGGAGTACTTTTAAATGATTTATACTATCTCGGCACACTATCCGATCTATCCCAATCACTTAGTTTAAACATATTTTCAAGACTTAATTTATGTATTGTTGATATCTACAGCCGATCGAATAGATTTAACTTTCTTTTTGCTTTATATCTCACTGTCGATCTACTTTACGCAACATCGGCTAGGTTATAAACGATACGTCATTGGCCATAGCCGATCGGCTATCGTTTGAGGATTTAACTTTGTTTCCATGTTTCTTGTTGGTTACAGGATCAAACCAACTGGCACGTCCTTGAACCTAAAAGCAAGATTTAGGTCCTGCACTAGAGTTCAGATCTCTCAGGCCAGTGTGTGTTTTTCACATCAACGGGAGCTTAAGATTCTGAGAAGCAGCTGGTGAGAAGCTAGCTGGTTCCTAGCTTCTAGTTTCTAGTTTATTTTCTGGATTCTACAACTACAGTTTCTCAGTATCTGGACCAAAAAGTAGACTGTTTAGGGGAGCTTCTGATCACGGAAAAAGCTGTAGTAATTAGAAGCTCCCTAAACACGAAAAAGCTAACGGGCGATCAGTCGCGCGCGCCCCTTCCCGCGCGCGGAGAGGGACGGCGGACGCGCCGCACGAGAGGAGGAGGGAGTAGCGAGTTTTCCGTTTTTCCCTTTGTTTTTTGTCGTTTCTGTTCGGTTGTTTTTTTCTTTTTTTTCTTTTTTTTCTCCGTTTTTCTCGTTTCTTTTTGTTTGGTTTTTTCATTTTTTTTTCCGGTTTCTCTTCTGTTTCTTTTTTGTTTTTTTAAAGATGCATGAATATAAAGTTTGTATTCGTACGTATACAAAGTTTGTATATGCGTATGCAAAGTCTGTATACGTGTATGCAAAGTTTGTACTTTGTATACGTGATGTATTTTCTAGTTTTTATTTTATTTTTTAATATGTACGTATATAAAGTTTGTATATATCGTATATAAAGTTTATACACATCGTAGTTTGTATACGCGTATGCAAAGTTTGTACTTTGTATACGTGATGTATTTTCTAGTTTTTATTTTATTTTTTAATACGTACGTATATAAAGTTTGTATATATCATATACAAAGTTTGTATACGTGCATATTTTTTTATACATCAATATATATATATATATATATATATATATATATATATATATGTTATAGTAGTAATAATAATAGTAGTATAACAACAGCAGCAGCAGTAGTAATAGTAGTACTGTAGTAGTACTAGTACTATTAGTACTGACCGCGCGCCCGACTAGTGGCGTATTAGGAACAGGCCTTTTGAGATTAAAGAGGTCCTAAGATGGATTCCTCACTTATTAATGGTGGCGTATTAGGAACAGGCCCTTTGAGCTTAAAGAGGTTCTAAGATGGATTCCTCACTTATTAATGGTGGCGTATTAGGAACAGGCCCTTTGAGCTTAAAGAGGTCCTAAGATGGATTCCTCACTTATTAATGGTCGAAAATGTGTTTGACGCGCGTTCGCGAATTAGTTTCTCGTCTTTCAGCCGGGCCGTAGTCTATTCTGTCCGCCTATTCAAAAAGCCCATAGCAGCAAGCAGAAGCCCATCGTAATCGGTTAGCCTCTCTCTCCTCTGACTCTGACTCCTTCCTCCCTTGCCCATCATCGTTCGTTCCCCTCCCCTCCTCGATTCCCCGTCTCCTCCGCGTGAGCTCGCCGGAGCACCGCCGGCCGATCCCCCCCACCCCCGCCACGCGAGCAGCGCCGCTCGCGCGGCCTGCTGCCCCCGCCTCACCCTCGCCGGTGAGCAATCCCTCCTCCTCTTTCTCAGGCCTCTCTTCTAGATCTGGAAGCTTTTCTCCTCCCCTTGCCGTAACCCTAGCGCTAACATTTGGTTTTGTTTTTCTGACCAAATTTTTTTTGGGGAGGGGTTTCAGGTGAACGGCGCATGCCCCCCCGACGTTAGGTGTCGCGCCTGGAGACGCGGAGATGGATCCGATGGATATCGTGGGGAAGTCCAAGGAGGACGTCTCCCTCCCCAAATGTGAGCTGAACTCCCTTGATTCTGATTATGCGTTTTTTTTTCATGCTTTCTCTTCGTGCCTAGAAATTTTGATGCAATTGTGCTTGTCTGCGACCGGGCCATGGTTAATCTGCGAATTATCTGGTTAGGGTAATTTAATTTAATTTAATTTGCGTCAGTTCTATTTCTTTTTAGAGTTGATACTCCCGTCAGGTTACATTATGTGTGTTGTCTCAGGCAGGCGACTTGTTGAGACAAGAATTTAGGGTTTCTTTTTTTTTTGTATGTGATTTTATTTACATGCTCTTACAGAGGGAGGGAGGGGGTGTTCTGCTGTGCTAATCCGTTGTTAGGGAGGTTGAATTCACTTTTGGTGAATAGATTCTGTATGCCTAGGTTGTGTGAATTTGTGGTAAATGTGGACTTGAAGATTGCGCTGATTATTTTAGGGGTTTTCTTATTTGATGCATAGTGAGATTGTATGTGATCGGTCCATGTTTCAGATATTATCGATGACAGCAGACATGGAATAGAATGTTAACTTTCATGGAAAATCTAGATTGTGCTGCTTATTTCTTAGGAGTATGTTGCTTGAAGTTGGCACTACATTTGTCGGGTTCTGATAATCTGATTGGTGTTGTAAATATGGTACTCCTTTTGTGTACATTGATTTCATGCTCCAAGTTGACGATTTGTTTCTTTTGTGGTTATAGCACATAGCCACATACCTTTCCTTGAGTAGTTGTTTCCTTCAGATCGAAAATTAATGCATTTCAATTATAAACCTTGTGATAAATGGTCTTTGATGCTTACTATGAAGTCCAGTAATGTTTACTGCTTTGACGTTTGACAGCACAGCGCAGCTGTTTTAGCGAATTATAATTGTGATCCATAAATATTTCTCTGGGCCTGATGTAGTATTTCTAGCTATGAATTTGGACAACTGTGAATCGAAATTCATAGCCAAAAGTTGCTTTATTTTAGGGCGGAGGTAGTAGCATTTTTCTGTAATAAATTGTAGCTGATTTAAGTTAGCCGTTTTCTGTTACATTTCAGCAACAATGTTTAAGATTATAAAGGAGATGTTGCCCCCTGATGTTCGAGTGGCAAGAGATGCACAAGATCTTCTTGTGGAATGCTGTGTAGGTAAGAGAAGTTGGTACTATTTTTAATCAAGAATATGAACAGTGTATTTTTAATCTTACAAAGTTATCCGTTTTAAAAACAGTCTGGTGGACCATTGTGACGTTATTATCTGGTAAAATTTAGTCAAATCTGACTGGATGTATTTACAATTCTAAGTTTTCTATGTTTAATCATTAATGTAAAAGAGAATTAAGGGTATTTACGATTTTAAGTGTTCTATGTTTAGTCAAGTCTGACTGGATGTATTTACGATTCTAATGCAAAATCTATTGTGGCCCGTAAAAAAAATGGTAGGGTCGATATCTGATTTGTGTATAGTATTGTTAATCACATACCGTATTTTCCTGCCTGGAGCATAAAATCCATACTCTCACCAAATTTATTCATGTTATAATCCCTCCATGTTGTGAGTTCCTTAAACATTAAAATAAGTTATTCCCCAAACAGTTTGGATATTTTCTTGGATGTCTCTTGCAAGATGTCTCTTGCAACTTTCAACCTTATTTCAACCTAAGGGATATTGGTTGTAAAAAATAGCTGAAATTTCTCCCTTTCTGGATCTAATCACAATATGCATATTTTTTATATATCAGAGTTCATCAACCTCCTATCTTCTGAATCCAATGAAGTTTGCAGCCGAGAGGACAAGAAAACTATTGCTCCTGAGCATGTTCTTAGAGCTCTGCAGGTTTGCCTTTCATTTCCTGAATATTAACATTATTTTTTATCACTTATGATGCTGTCCTACCTGTTTTATCATGGTCGTAGTTTTGTAGTATATTGTCAATATTTTTTCCTTATGATTATGGACCTTATCTATATTGTTTCAGTATACTGCAAAATAAAGATAAAAATAACAGAATGCCTGGAACAGAGTAAAAGGGGAATATATGAATGTTTCTTTTTTGAAAATGAAGGATTTGAGTATCTTAGAGCTCTTTTTCTGAGTGCAAATTGGTTATGACTATTGACTAAAGTCTGAAACTAAAATGCTGAATTTGTCTGATGGCAGTTCAGATATCTATATGCCATGGAATGCTATTACTACACAGCTAAAACTGATCTGCACATATGTGTTCATTTGTTAACATGATTTTAGGGGGCTGAAAGTAGAATTGGGCTTGGACTACCCAATTGAGTGTGGTCTTAAACTCGTACTCCATTTTGGGCCCTGGTGGACTTTTTTCGGTTAGATCATGGATATGTATTGAACAAGGTCCAATGGAAACATTTCAATGGAAACATTTCAATAGTAAAATACTTCTTGGGCAGGAGTTGAGCCTCAACATTTGATGTCCAATGTTAAAACACACCATGAAGTTCAGAAGTTGTTGACAGCCACATTCACTCGGCGATAACCACATGATGGAAATTTTTATGGTGGATGTTGTTGCCTCATCGCATTGCAATGCTAAGCAGTGGCTTAGCATTGGCTACGGTTCATAGGACCTCAACATTCTCCTTGCTCCCTTGTCTTCCTTCATGGAGTGTTGTGCTTTCTTCCTGGGAGATGTACTTTTGCTTCTACATGATTCAAACATCAAGTCTTGAAAAGCTCGAATTTTTTTTTTTTGTAAATGAAAAAATATGTATAGAACCAGCTGAGAACCTTGTTTTAACCAAACACTCAGGCTCCAGGTTCCGGAACCCTGCAGTGTAAACCTATTTCTGGCTGATCTACCTTTGAAATAATTGTTTTCCAACTAGTAGTTGGTACTCGCCAATATGTGAAATCTCCAGACTTATTTCAGTTTTTTTTTTCATTTTGGCAGGATCTTGGCTTTAGGGAGTACATTGAAGAGGTTCAAGCGGCCTACGAACACCATAAGCATGATACCCTGGTTTGTACTATTTTTTTCCCACAGAGATATGCATAGTATCCATCATCTATGCAGGATACATTGACACTATTTTTTCATCGAGCAGGATTCTCCAAAAGCAAGCAAATTCACTGGTGTGGAGATGACAGAGGAACAAGCTGTAGCTGAGCAACAGAGGATGTTTGCTGAGGCCCGAGCAAGGATGAACAATGGTGCCGCCAAACCGAAGGAGCCAGAACCTGAAGCGCAGCAACAAACACAACAGCCACCACAGCCTCAGCTGCACCCTCAACCACAGCAACCCCTGCAGCCTCAACTTCAGCTCCATCCTCAACCACAACAACAGCCCTCACAGCTACATCCTCAACAGCTGCTGCATCCTCAATCGCAGCAAACTCCGCAGCCTCAACCTCAGGTCCACCCTCAACCACAGCAGCCTCCACAGCTGCAACCGCAACCTCAGCTTCTCCAGCAACCGCAGCTGCCCCAACAGCTGCAGCCGCAATCTCAGCTCCCCCCACAACCGCAGCAGCCCCCACAGCTGCAGCTGCAATCTCAGCTCCACCCACAACCGCAGCAGCCCCCACAGCTGCAGCCGCAACCTCAGCTCCATCAGCAACCGCAGCCGCAGGCAGAGCTGCAATCACAGTCACAACCACAAACAGAACATGGCTTGGACAGTTCATGATTCAGATTCCATGTTGTGTAGCCTCAGTATAAGGAAAAGTTGGTGTACTTCCGCTGGCATTTACTAGGACTCTGTGTGCCCCTTGATAGTTTTAGGTTTCCATGCTTCATGTACAATGTAAATCCAGTGTGATTTCAGTTACCATGTTGCTAATAATCTGAAGCTCTCTCTAGTCACTGATGTTATTACTTTTCCAAACACCCTTTCTCTGACTCTATGACTGTAGTAGTATCATGGCATGTATGATGCCTTGTCAAAAGGGACTCCATTAGCAGTGTAACTTGACTTTTGCCGATGGCGATGGTGATTTCAGTGACTTGTTAATTGCAAGGTGCCATTTGTCTCACTGAATTGACTGTACACCTTTCTTATATTTCGGAGAACCCTAAGCTATTCTGGCAATCTTATTGCTGCATCTGTTTTTGTGGGCAATACATCTGAAGCTGCATTACACTGTAGTCTAACACCCAAGTTTCAGGAAGACGCTATGAGAGCAGGTACAATAGTAGGCTATAAGCTAACTATAAACATATCTTAAAGAGATAAAAAGAGAGAGAATACCAAGTATTAATACTATACTCCCTCCGTTTCATAATATAAGTCATTCTAGCATTTCCCACATTCATATAGATGTTAATGAATGTAGACATATGTCTATATTCATTAACATATATTCATTAACATCTATATGAATGTGGGAAATGCTAGAATAACTTATATTGTGAAACAGAGGTAGTAGTAAGCAACTATTGTATGAATTATTAACATCAATATGAATGTGAAAAATACTAGAATAACTTACATTGTGAAACGGAGGAAGTAATAAGCAACTATTGTATGAATTGGCTATTACATTGACTATAGATGATTTGGAGCTAGTAGTTGGCTATACCATTAAACTTGCTCTGAATGCGCCCTCTTGTGTTTTAACGGTTTAACCATGTAAATTGTGAATTAGCCAAGGCAATGAAGCAGTCCACTACTTCCATAAGTTTTGGTTACTGCAAAATTCAAGTTCAACATCATAGCTAATCACCATAACCGTGCATGAAACCAAGGCTTGCATTACAGAAAAGATGCCAAATAGCACATGAAAACTGAGAAAGCAGGGCCTCCATATATCAGTGATATCACATCGATTATTTTATTAAATTAAAGAAGATAACAGTTAAACAGTCCACACACAAAGACATGATCACACATGTCATACAACACACTGATACTGGCACAAGCTGACAAAAGCACAGCTACTAATACATCATTAACCACAACCATCTCCCCACTTGTTGCTACTTCTAATTACCATCACAAATCTAACTAATCCCGTTGACTTACTCCAACCTTGAAGCTTTTATTATATATATAAAATATATATAATTGCACACACATATATACACGTATCAAACTTTTAACGCACCATGGAAGAGAGCCAAATGTAGCATCACCGAGGAGGAATAATAATTTAATTAACCAGCTTAATTGATACTCCCTCCGTTTCAGGTTATAAAACGTTTTGATTTTGGTCAAAGTCAAACTGCTTTAAGTTTTACTAAGTTTGTAGAAAAAACTAGTAACATTTTTAACTCAAGACAAATTTATTATGAAAATATATTCAATTATTGTTTTGATAAAACTAATTTAGTATTATAAATATTGCTATATTTATCTGTAAACTTAGTCAAACTTGAAACTGTTTGACTTTGACCAAAGTCAAAACGTATTATAACCTGAAACGGAGAGAGTAATAAGAAGTGATGTGACGACATTTCACTTGCAGGTGGCGACGAGGACTCGGCGGGGCGGCAGCGAGGGGCGGCGGCCGTGGAGGGTGGCGAGGTTGTCGAGGATGAGCACGTCGCCCACCTCCCACCGGAACTGGATGCTCTCCTCCTCGATGATCTCGCCGCACCGCGCCACGAACGCCGTTGGGATCTCGGCGCCGTCCGCCATCGTCGCCGAGCTCAGTGCCTTCCCGTGCATCCCCACCACCGTGTTGAACCACATCCGCCGACCCTGCCGCCCCGGGAAGACTCGCGTCAGCTTCCTCGGCCCTAGGATCGTCCTCGCCCCGCCGTTCGCCAGCCACTCCACCTCCATCCCTAGCGCCCGAGCCCTGAATACGCACACATGGCCCATTAGAGCAAGGATAAAAGTGCGCTATAAGTTAACTGTATGCTTACGTGGAGGACAGAGCCAACAAAGAAAAAAGAAGGTGTTGGCTCTCATGCAATATTTACTCTGCACGTACTCCAAGACAAATACATTGAATGCATAAGTGAGAGAATAGTTAGGAGAAGAAAAATTGAACACAATCTAACAACTAATCTATTATATATATTGGCAATAGGATTACTAATAATTGACAGTCAGCTTTACTATTAAACTTGCTCTTAGACGGTGATGAATTAATATTCCTAATTTCCTATGGATTGGTCTGGGAAACTATACTAATTGTATCACATATATCTCTTTCATAAATAGCAAAGTCATGTTTCCAATTATGCAAAACAAAACATACACGTGCACATACCACATGGCACGTTTCCGAATGCGCACTCTAACCCATAAAAATACGAAGGCTAGAGCCAAAATCAATGATTAAAATAAATGTATTGAAACTGTGTGGATGTGTGCATTATAAATGGTTGGAATAATGATTAGTTGAACTCTAGTGAACGTCACGTGCCTATGACTTCATCACCCCTTTTTTAATGCAAAATTAAATTTAGTCTAAAAAAAGTAAAAAAACATATTAAATTGGAGTATGAAAAAGTATACTCGCGTTTGCATGCGTTTTTTCTTATGTGTGTAGGTTGATTTGACCATATGTTACAATAATTTAACTCGTGTTACCGTTTTAAATCATAACTATTCAAATCAAATGCAACAAATGAGAGCACGTGTCCTAGAGTACGACTTAAAATCCACTTCGGTATTACAGATGCTACTTGCATTGATTTTGTTGGTTCTGATAACAGGTGAATTTTGCCGGCTTTGGTGATTAAGTTATGAGAAATGGAGCATTCGTGTTAACAAACATCTTCACCAGATGGTGCATTCATACTTTAGCATCCGTCCGTCCTATGACGTGAACTTTGACATATATTCTAAACTTTTATAACATCTACATGCAATTTTTTTTAATTATTGGCTTTATTACCATATTGAGATTTGGTGCGATTTTGACCATATATTAAATTACAATTTCAACCAACAGTGTATATATGTGAATTTATTTAGTTACATTGAGATTATTGCAACTCTGAAAAATGCAATTTCAACCAACAAAACCGTATATTGCTCGGTTTAATTGGTTATAATTTATAAAACTTAAGCTGACAGGGAAAGACACGCAACACTAGAATTGTAGGTCAATTACCTCTTCTCGGCCTCGGCCTTGTCGGTGGTGGCGAAGGCGTCCTCCCACCCTCGGCCGCGCATGGACTTGGTGTCGTTCTTGCTCAGCGCCGTGAACGTGTACCGGAGGCCCTTCTCGTCGAGCTCCTCCACCATCTCCGGGAACTCCTCCATCACCCTCTCCGTGACCCTGAAGCTCGGCACGAACGGCGTCTCCCCTCCCTCCGGCGGCGCCACCTCGCAGAACAGTATCACCTTCCCCGGGAACTCCTTTATCTGCAATTAACCCACCACACGGACGAACACCTTCGTGTCAATGGCGGCGGCGACACGGACGAACACCTTGTCGTCAATGGCGACGCGACGCGGCGGCGGTGGCCGAGTACTACGTACGTACCAGGACCATCTCGTGGTGGTAGTAGATGAACTCGTCGAGGGGGCCCTCGTTGGCGGTCCAGACGCGGCCGTGGACGTGGGTGCGAGGCGCCGGGCCGACGTACCGGATGTCCGGCCACCCCAGGGCGCCCACCACGGCGTCGAACTCGGCAGCGTCGCGCACGCCGAACCCGCGCAGCAGCACGGCGCTGTTCGACACCACCTTCGCCTCCACCCACTCGCGCCTCGCGCGCAGCGCCGCCGCCAGCGCCTCGCCGCCTCGCTCGCCGGAGCCGGACGACGCCGGCGTCAGCACCAGCGGCACCTGCTCGCCGTCGATGGTCTTCTGGCCGTCGCACTCCCCCACGCTGAAGAACTCGCCGTCGCCGCCCATGGCGTCGTACGTCGATCGTTGCAAGAAACAAGAAAGCAAGTGCAATGTGGTGTGGTGGTAGTAGTTGCAGTTTGCAGGTGTATATGTGTGTGTATAAATATGGAGAGGAAGTGGATGCAGACACGGAGAGCGCGACAAGGTTCAAAAACGATGAAAGAAAGGATAATACATTTATCTCCACAAAGATTCGTGATGGAGAGAACAAGTAAAGCGAAGGAAACTATGCACTAGTAAGTTTCAACCTCATCTACAACTCTAAAAAAACAAATAAAATCATGGTCTCTGCTCAGGTTGGTAGATTCTAAGTATTAGGCTTAACGTGTGTGCTCATATATTTTTTAAAAAAAACCTTAATAAATAATATATCTCCCTGCTATGTGTGGCTCGCGGCTATATCAGTATCGGTAAAAAAAAACAATATAGTGCAAGAAAAAAAGTGTTTTAAGCACTTGTAAAAACCTTGAAACTAATTAAATTAATGATTATATACAACATATAACTCTTAAAGTCGTTCACTTCATCCTCTGAACTTGACTAAAACCATGTTATTTTGAAGATAATTAAAATAGAACGGGTTTGCAGCCACAACAGGGGAAAAAGAACTAAAACAAACTACTACTCGCTCCATTCCAAAATATATAAGTAATTTTAATGTCAAAATATAATCATTTCTAACACCACGTGTCTTACAAGCACATATCATTCAATTTTTTTCACATATTACCCTTAACCTCTCTCATGCCCTAACCATAACTCATTTAATGAGGGAATTATATTCTTTTCTATTCAACCTTAACTTTTTGTTTAAATAATTAGAAATGTTTATATTTTAATACGGATGTAGTATAAGAGTGAAAAGTAAATTACTTGGAGAATATGTTGAGCTTTTTTCGTTCTTGGCAGATTTACAGACTGCCAAAGTAGTCGAAGATTTTGTTTTAAAAGATGAAAAATGAAGACCAAGATTAATTGTTGCTCATCGACCAATATCAAGCTACTAGGTGCCTCCTACAGATGCAACAATGAAGCTGATTTACCCAATGGCGCTGGTTCCGGTTTTAGTTTGAGAGGGCCCATGGTAATTAGGAGGTAAAACCGCCATGGTCTTAGTTTCCACCGCTAAGATGATCTTATTATGCGTGTCCTTGCAATACTGGTTCTAACTAAACTTTGTCATATTTGACCGGCGAAAATAACTCTATTGTCTTGTGTGCAGCTAACTCCTGCGATATGTACACCATATTGGTCATGGTCTTCAAAATATAAGAAAAAAAAGAAAAGAATTACCACGCTCTCGTCAGTGCTTGCATATTAATTCCCAATACAATGCCCATAAAAAAAACCTAATGAAATGTACTCCGTTCGGGTTTTAATATATGACACCTATAATTTTTTAATATATTTTCTATCCGTTTTATTTAATTATTATTATTATTTTGCTGTGACTTGATTTATCATTAAAGATTGTATAAAAATATTTTATATTCTTTTATGTTTGCACGAAATTTTGGTATCGTATAGGGTATGACAGTTGGAGACTCCAAATTCTGGAGCAGATATCCCTATGGAAAGGAGAGAATATTACTTAATTTGAAACCGCACTGACTAGCACTGGTGATTATATATAGGAGTATAATTGAGAACAAGGCAACCTGACAGATGGATGGAAGCTAGTGCACTTGAGAATTTTGAGGTTGATGACCGTGCTTAATGAGGTGGTTGGACGGCTTGACTAGCTAGTTAGTTTTGTTGTTTTAGATTATGCACGCCCAATGATTTCAGTACAAGATGTTGAGAGCTATTGTTCAAAGGATTGTTCTTCATAGTTAATTTACCCAAATTACAACATTAATTTAACAGGAGTTAGGTATACGTGTGTGTAAAATAAATAAAGGGGGACTTTAAATTCTCTGTTTTGCTTTGGGTTTATGGGGTGAAAAAAGAAACAGGTATAAAGTTTTTACAAGCGTATAAATTTCAATGTTACCAAATAAACCCTCGTGTTTCTGTCATTTTAACAGCATAGTTTTGTTAGTCGCTTCTATTTCCCTTTTACCATTGCATAATGTTCAACAAGTTTTTTTTTATTTTATCGGGTCAAAAAAACATGTAGTTTGGGCATTTATATGCTTGTTAATTAATGTTAATGTTTCAATCCAATATAAAAATGCGTACGCCGAGCCTAGCCAATCCAATATAAAAAAGACGTGTCTCTTCTATTCCTTCTATTTCAAAATAAACAAATCTAATATGAGATATGACATATCCTAATACCAACATCCTGTACTAGATTTATTTATTTTGAGTTAGAGGAATTACATTATATTTCTTGCCAGTCCTTGACATAACAACTATCACATTCATAGCCCTTTTTAGGCTGTAACCCCTCCTCCCTGGCACGCAAAACGAGGTTCATTTCATTGCATGATTAATTAAGTATTAACAAATTTTTTTTGAAAAATTGATTAATATGATTTTTTTAAACAACTTTCATATAGAAAGTATTTCATAAATCACACCGTTTAGCAGTTTGAAAAGCGTGCACGAGAAAAACGAGAGAAATGGGTTAAAAAAATGGGGGGAAGAACACACTACTATGTTCCATAAAAAGGCAAACTCTAGGGGTGTGTTTGGAATGAGAAATGTGGGGTGGGATTGGAATTAGGAAATAAATGAAGGGTTAAGATTAAATGGAAGAGAGAATGAATAATTAAGATTTAAAGATATCTTTTGGTGGGTGGGAAATCATTTTCCTATCCCATTAGTCAAACACTGCCTAGCTACGAACATGTACAAGTATTTATCCAGATTCATATGTAGAGTGAACTCTTTTTTTTTTTTTTTTTGATGGAGGCGTAGGTGTTCAGGCGCTTGCGTAAAATTAGTACTCCACAACAACTAAGCAGAAAGCGTACACATGAAAGACGCTTCTCCCTTAGGAATACGTATTCACTAGTTCACACTTGGTCAGCTCGAAAGGAAGAAAAAAAAATTGTTGGCGTCTTTGCTTCTCCTCGTCTCCCTCCTCCTCCTTCCCCTCCGGCGCTCGATCTCGCTGAGTCGCCGCACACCATTTTGGCGATGGCGGCGGCGCCGGCGGCGAGGTTCCCGGTGTTCGGGATCGTGCGGCTGCTGGGCCTGGCGGCCGCGGCGGCCATCGTCGTCTGGGCCGTCCACTTCCGCGGCGGGATGGCGCTCTCCTCCGAGACGGACAAGCTCCTCATCTTCAACGTAATAATAATGGAGTATTCTCGAGAGATCCCTGCCTCTGTATATATATCTCTAGCCCCCCTGGCCCGCGGATCGCGCGCTGATCTTGGTGGTGTCTCTGTCTGTGTGCGGGAATAATCTGATCTGTTGTTTTCCCAAGGTTTCGATCGAGTTCTTGTGTATTGACCCAGCGAAGATGCAATGCGAGGGCTTTCTTTTGTTGCGTATTTCGGAGGTTTAGGAGAGTTTTTTTTTTTGGCTGCTGCGTGTAGTGAATTTGGATTGGAGGAAGGGTTTAGCTTTTTTGCAAGAAGTTAATTACAAGGGGAGAATTTTGAATTCTGGGAAGCTGACAATCGAGCCTGATGCATTTCGAAGGAGTTTAGCGCTCTCTTCTAGGGATATTTTAGACCTGAGATGATTTGGGTTCGTGTGATGACTTCATGGGTGTGATATCTTAGGCGTCTTTTGTTTTAGTGAGTGCTAAGCTTTGTTTGTTTCGTTTTTCTCACTCCATTTGCTCAAGTTTGTAATTTTGGGCTACATTAATAGGATTACCAAACTGCACCACATCCCTTGTTCGAGATCGTTGTACATTGCCATTGGACTATGTTCCTGAAGTTTGTCGTTAATGGCTCAAAGTTATTCTAAATTTTTAATGAAAAGGGAAAGAAAACCCTTTTCAGAATGAAAATGAGAGAAGATTTGAAGGCTTGGTTGGATAGTAAGTTTGTAACAAGCCTGGAAATCTTTTGAAGTTTTGGCTTCTTAATTGTTGACATTTAAGTGATGAACAAAAAAAAAGCATCGACTACCGAGGATAATTAATTATTTCAGAGTACTTGAGTCCTGCAGTTAGATCATTTTAGTTCAGGGAGGAAAATGCATATGCACTTGGATAGCCACCTAAATCATTTAATAGGCAGCACCACAAGAAGCAACTTTCAGCATTATAGCACATGAGAAAGACAACAAGAAGCAATTCATGCTTTGTTCTGAGAATTGTTTTTGAGTTATCTTTTTCTGGTTTTACACCAGTAAGCCTGTCTTTCACAAATAGAATCACCATTTGTGGTGCTGTCTAGGAAGACTTTGAGGGAGCTTTTACTCCATACATACTGTAACTCTACTTGTATTCCTACGTGGGCATGATTACTAGGGAAGGGAATTTATATCACTGAACATAATGGTTTTACCGATTGTAGAATAATAACACATGTGGAATTACTAGGGAAGGGAATTTATATTAATTTATGTGGATACCTACGAAAAGAAGGTGAAAGTAGCTAGTACATGGCACTCTCTTTGGTTAGCATTTACACACGTGTGCGTGCACTGCGGTTCACGCACAAAAGAGCAGAGTGGCCCTAGAAAATAAACAGTAAAGTTTTCTGCCAGCTAGTGAACATGATTTTGTCCTATCTTGGGCAATTGAAAGTTTTTGTGTAATATTCTGTTCCATATTTTGCTAAATAAGGCTGGGAAATGAATTAAGCAGCCAACTATGTAATATTTTTACTTATACATTTAATCAACATATATTATACATTTAATCAACATATAATCTAAAATAATAATTTCCATGTCCTCAAGTGGTTTGAATTTTGAAACTTCGAATGTGCTTTATTTCATGTAAACAACTGATTTGTAGGTTTTGCCGGCTAAAAAATGTGGGTTTGAGTTGCGTTCGCTAGATAGTAATGTTAATTGATGAATTGATTACATAAATCCCATCTTGTTATGATATTAAAACTGCCTTCTGTTATTTCAGGTTCACCCAGTATTGATGCTGATTGGATTGGTAGTCCTGAATGGGGAAGGTAGTGTGTTAACCACTATTGAACTCCAATCGAATTGGATCTTGGAATGGCCTTCATGTTGGCTTGTTGCATATAAATATTTTTATTGCTTCATTAAACAGGATACAGAGTTTACTGTTTTTTCGATTTATGCATACATCTAACTGTAGCATTTTTCAGATATGCAAAATATCATGCCTCTGTATTTTCATGCAGTACAGCATGAACAAAAAATAATGACATTGAGACATCCTAGGTAGATTATATACAGTTTCCTTGATACTCGATACATGTCAAAATCAAGTACCAAGGAACCAGGAAGGGGCTGTTCACTTTGACGCCATTTTCAACCATATCATTTTTTGGCAAAGTTACCAAAAAAGTGGCTACATTTAGTTTGTTGTCAAATTTAGTAAATACATAAGAAATCCTGCCAAAATTTGGTAATATTGTCAATATTGCCAAAATTTTGACATTGCCAAAATTTGGTAAGGTTTATTTTGGCATCAAAGTGAACAACCCCGAAGTAAGATATTTACACCTAATGATACTTGGTCCTGGCTGAATAGTATTTGATTTACCCAAATCAACACCTAGTTCCATATTTTTCTTCAAAAGCTTAGTTGGAGATATAAAACCAAAAAAGAGTTGCTGAATTTACTTTTTCTGTCACTTTCTAGCTATTTCCTATTGAATTGGTTACCAAATTACTCTTTTCCGATTGAAACATTCAAATTGGTAGTTCTTGTCTGTAGCTAGAAAATTTATCGACTTAGCAGAAACCACTCCAGGCCCTTGTTCTGAGGACTAATGTGATTATAATTTATTTGCATTATATTACATATGCACCCAAATCAATACCCTTCTATGTAGGTCGTACAAAAAAAAGTTCATTCATCAAACTCTGGGAAAAAAGGGAATTCATCTTAACTAGTTTGAATTAGCTTCATGATATATGGTCACTTATAAACTAAACTCAATTAGTGCAAACTAACAGAAATCAGTTTGAACTGAGTTATGTATATGAAGGGAAAAACTCTGAATTTTGATATTGATCATACATGCGTATCAAACAGTCTAGAAATGAGTGTCTATGCATCAAGGTGCCTCATGTAATTTACTGGACATAAAAGGCATAGTTTTTATAGTGTGTTATAATAAATGGCAATAAGGTTTTAATGGATCGCTTATGGTTCTGCATGCAGCAATTTTGGCCTACAAGACAGTGCCAGGAACCAAGAAACTGAAGAAGCTAGTACACCTTGCCTTGCAGTTCCTCGCCATGCTCCTGAGTCTGATTGGGCTCTGGACTGTATGGAAGTTCCACGATGAGAGACAGATCGACCACTTATATACGCTTCACTCCTGGTTGGGCCTTTCTTGCATCATCTTCTTCAGCTTGCAGGTAGATATTGAACTATGCTCTTTTCAGTAAACATAAAAATATGTAAAGAGGTTTGCTTCCAACATATTCTCATCTTTATCGTTGATATCTCTACAGTGGGCTACTGGATTTTATACATTTTGGTACCCTGGTGGATCTAGGAGTGGAAGAGCCTCCCTGCTCCCCTGGCATGTCTTCTTCGGCCTCTTCCTTTACGTTCTCGCCATCGCCACAAGCGTTTCGGGACTTCTGGAGAAGTCGATCTTCATGCAGAGCGCAAAAATGATCGGGCGTTTCTCGACAGAAGCTATGTTTATGAACTCGTTGGGGATGTTGCTGGTGCTATTGGGGGCTCTTGTCATACTTGCAGTTGTTACTCCTGGAGTTGGCAAGATCGATACATACCGAGGCTCATCAGAGTGAGAGGGAGGCGGCGCGCTGTAGTTCTTGAGATGCAGTTAGTTCTGAACGACATTTCTGGCTCCAACTGAGGAATTTATCTGTACATCCCATTTTCACTGGAATTATTGTTACCTGTTTAGATCTGATGAAGAGAGTTATTTGTCGGTACACTTTTTAAGTTGTAGTGGTAGATTGATGATCAAATTGACATAAATTACGGCGAAATCCATTCTGGAGGACGTGGGCCCCGAGATGTTTGGGTGTTCTTAATGTATGAAGGAATACGGAAAAAGGAAAGCAGTTTTGTATGCTTAACAATAACAATTAATCATCCCATAAAATCGCTATTCTTGTTATACTTTGGAAAGTGTGAGTACGTGCAAATGGTCTTGTGTGCATGATTTGTGATGCCAATGCAACCTAGATCCGGTTTCCTGTACGAATTGCAATGCTAACCCTGGTGATCAATATTGTTCATACCAGATGATACGACACTTGATAAGATAATAATATCCTCGTGTGGTTGCCCAAACACTTGGCCTCGTTCGTTTAATCCCCAGACCAAGGGGATTGAGGGAATTGGAGGATAAAATTCCACACCTATGTTCTCCCCCAATCTCCTTCAATCCATTTTGGGATTAAAAGAACAAGCCCTAAGCATGTTAGTAACCACATCGTTAACCTCAAATAACTTCACAAACATAGTATGCAGCACAAGGGAGAATTAGACAAGCAATTAGGATAAATGCATCTGGATTCTCAGTGCATAGAAGAACAAAATCATTTGCTGATCATCCCGACTCGGAACAGATTTTCTTTGAACTAAACACACATGAACAGAGTGGATAACAACCATAAAACTACCAGCCTAGCACGGACGGACGGGGGTAGTTCATACTTCATGGCGTTGCTACTGTTTTGTTCGGCCACTACTACTACTACCACATGACTGATATTGTTGGTCTAATTACAGAAGAAAAGGAAACAGACTCCAATCTAATGCCATTTGAACACCGCCCATTGTACTGATGATCACTAGCTGCTTAGCATATCACCTACACAGCACCATGTTGTCACCAAAGCCTGTCAACCTCCAGCACAGAAAGATGGAATCCAAACTCCTGCAAGCCCAGAAAAGATCACCCGTTAGCTCAATCTAACATTTTTGAATAGTATATATTTCCAAAGAGAGCATAACAGGATCACTGATAGAACCATAATCGCTGTATCGGACCATATCCACGCTAGAGGGGAGTACATAATTATTACCAGAACCAGCATGCATAACATTAACCAGCACATTACAAATATCTCAAATCAGCATTATATGTTCCAAGCAACATAATCAGAACTTGAACATATCTCAGCTTTTTTTGGTCAGGATGAAACCGTTTCATATATGTTTCAAGCAGGTGGAGCTAGCTCCTTGGACTTTGGACCATCTCCATCTTACAAGAAAATATTACCCTAAGGCTAAGAGTGAATGGACACCCATGCGGATAAAGAGATTAAGCAAATATTGAATGCTGTTTGTTTTGATTTTCAAGGGCTCAATCAGGCTTTGAAGAGTTACATGGTGACTGCTAGTCGTGTGCTTTGTTTATTTCTGGGCAAGGCTATGACCCAAATACTAAAAATCAAAATGGATTCAACTAGCAGTAATAAACAAGGCAACAAAATGGTTTTAACTGGAAAAACTTTGAAGCACTCTTGAGTCTTAATCAATCCAAACAGGCCTATTTCATGAAAAGCATATGGTATCCCAGAATCCCTTGGATCATATAGTTACAACAAAAGAAATATAAAACTAATTCTCTTTTCAGATTATGCTGGAATGGATCCCCATACTTATTCAAACATGGAGCAAGATCAAGAACTAAACACAAACCAAATAAAGCAGGTCAAATTACATAAATTATATGTGCAGCTCATATCACAGGAAAGCACACGGCACCCTGGCTATTGATGAATTAACGCTCACTCTATTCAGGCTAGAAACTGCATGGCAAAAAGAAAAATAATATTTATTTCCATTAGCAGGTGTTCATGTAATTTTAGCTCTTTTACTTCATGTTGGAACTAATTCTCTATCTGGTAGTATATTTTAGACATGCTCTCCTTTTTGGCACCAAATCATGGTCTAGATACTGAAAATTTTAAAAAAAGATCACCTCAGGCTGTGAAGGGCAAGATGCTACTGTGCAACTCTTTCTTCCTTGACCTCTGGTCCTCTGACTTTGTTATCCTTGTGCTTCTTTGATACATGGACAGCTTGCTCAGATGGGTTGGAAGCTGGCTCAGCTGCTGGTCTGACTTTGGGTTCCTCAGCAGCGACTAGAGGGGCAAATAGAGCTTGTGGCACAGAAAGCATGTCGATTTCTCCATCTAGCAGCGGTTTAACAACAGTTAGCACTTGAAATATAAAAAAATGTTGGTGCATTGATTTACTGGAAAAAACAGCATGCTGGTTACACCAAATTAAACATACCATATAGTTTGAATATGGAAGGGGGTGTGAATTTTATAGGAGCAAAAGGAAGTTTCTTGTTTGTTGGATTACTGTCGATTCCTTTGTTGTACCCAGAAGGTGAGATTGCCCTGATGAGCTTTTCCTTCGATCTAACAATTTTCGCCATGGAAGTGTAATTTGTAGCTGGAAGACCAACCGAACTATTAGTTGTTAACTTATACTCTTGCAAGTTTGGTCACACAATAAAAGCAGTTCAAGAAAGATGGTGGTGATCCTTTTTTTCAGTCATGAAGAATGGAACTCATGTTACCTAAAAGTGACTTGACCGCAGCACGAGCTGCCTTCTGCTCTGCGTCCTTCTTGTTTCTTGCAGCTCCACCAGTATAAGTATGCCCAGCAAATGACACAGATGAAACATATGGAGTCACGGACCCTTCTGTCTTGGTTACAGAGTATTCTGGTTGATCAGTTTTTGTCTTAGTAGTATATTCATGAAGAATTGATTTGCTGAACACAACATCCTGAATGGAAGAAAAAGGAATGTGTGTTAGATAGAGGTCTTCATACTTATGAATGTTGAACGTAAATTTCAAAAGGTGAGAGAACAAGACCAAAATGTTAGATTGTACTAATAAGGTACATAGTTAGTCTCTGATTCACTGGCTTCTAAAATGTAAATAGTACAAAAAAAGGAGTTGCCAGAGGTATGCAGCCAGGGTCCTTGAATTTAAAAGGTGAACATTAGGTTCCCTCTACATGTGAGTCAAGTCAAAACAAGATCTAAAAATCTATTTTATCGGCAATTAGAGATGGCATAATACTGTCTCAATCTAAATAACAATTAGCCACGTGATTGTCATTATAAACCACAGGACAATGGATAATTGTGGAATTTAAGAAAATTCACATATTATTGAACAGATTTTGTAGGCCTTTATTGATCATTTAGGAACTTCATGTCCAACGTTTAGCTTAAAAAGGATCAAAGTGTCACATAATCATTAACCAATAACTAAGCATGCATGCCTTTGACCTCTATTGATAAATGTATACACACGTAAATGTTCAGTTCTGAAGTTCAGAGAGCACAGTACATACAAGACAGTTTACTTCAAAATAAATTATGATTTCGTTAACAACATAAAATGCAATGTAACCAGACTTCAAGAAAAGAAGCAGTAATGCTGAATCACATATAAGCATAGCCAAATCGTGCTTGTATTTTTTACTAACACAATGAAGACCAAAAAAAAAGCGAGATATGTTAACATGATGTTGCATAATTCAGAGCAAATATATAAACATTACTGCTGATTATGTGAAAGATGGTAAAGAACCAAGACAATGAATAGTTCAAATAAGGTACCTGATCAATGAGCTCAAACACATCTGTATCATCAGTCTCAGTCTCTTTCCTTTCAAGCAAGGTATCATAGGCTACTTTAGCAGCATCCTGCTCAGCGTCCTTCACACGTCTATGACAAAAAGTGGATGAAAACTCCTCACCATCCACCATGACAGTGGATTTGAACTTAAGCTGATGGTGTTCACCCTTGCACTTGGTACAGTAGATTGGCAACTGCTTATTTGCCTGCTGAAGATACTCTTGCAATTTGCTTTTGTAATTGCAGTGCGCTGCATAAGTAAAACGGAACAATCACTAGTTTTTTCACCAGCAAAATGCTAAAATGGATAGCGATGCATGTTATAATATGGTCCTAACATAGGAGAGTCTAATATTCAGGTACTGATCTGTTGCGATAATCACAAAAACCAGCTGCTATAACGCCACATTCAACACAAAAAGGGCAAGGTAAGCAATCACACAGTAATCAGAATATCAGAAGTTATACATGTATTCACTGCAATCTTTGCAAACCAAAAGGGAACAATTCTAACAAATAATTGCAACCTGAGAACAAGGAATTTGCTGCATGAACAGCAAACTGCATGGAAGAATAACCCGGAAACTCAACGAAAAATCAGACGCCCTTGGCCACGAAAAATCAACCCAATCCATCCACAAAAATGCACCTAGGATGCACCGCCATTCCACGGACCATGAAGCAACATCGCACACAACAATCATTAGTTTATTACTTTATTTCATCCTTGTCTCACAAGACCCTGGACTCCACAACTATTCACCAACAAAATGCTAAAATACATAGTGAGCATGTATTATCCTATAGTCCTAACATGGGAGCGTTTGCAATATTCAGGTAGTGATCTGATGCGATAATCACGAAAACCAGCTGCTATAACATCCAAATCCAACACAAAATGTGAGAGATGAGCAATCACACAGTAATCAGAATATCAGAACATATTCCCTATAAAACAAGTCAGTTGCAAATCCTGCAAACCAAAAAGGAACAATCCTGACAAATAACTGCAACCTGAGAACAAGGAATTTGCTGCACGAATAGCAAATCCTAAGGAAGAACGGCACAAAAATTTGCCGCTCCCTAGATACTAATATACGAAATCAACAAAAAACCAGACACCCTTGACCGCGAAAAAATCTACCCAATTCACCCACACAAACGCACCTAGGCCGCGCCGCCATTAGCACTGACCATGATACACCGACACACACAACGCCACGCTCCCCAAAAAACAAAAACAAAAACAAAATCTACGAGCACGTAATCTACCACCGCAACGGTCATCTTCAGATCGGGACATCACCTCACACAAATCCATAACTAGATTCCCTATCTAAACCAACAGATTACGCGATAAAAACGGAGAACGAAATCCAAGGCCCAACCACGCCGCAAACAATCTACCAACACAGATTAATCCTCCGATCGAGTCATCACCTCCACACGAACCCCTAAATTCCCTAACCCAATCCAACACAGATTACACAACGCCACGCTCGAAAAAAAAAACAGAGAACAAAATCGACGAGCGCGTAATCCAACAACCCCACCGATCATCTCCCGATCGGGACAACACCACCTCACACGAACCCCCAAATCCCCTATCCAACCCAACAGATTCAACCGAGAAAACGAAAAATACGGAAAAAACAAACAACCGAGAGCGATCAGGAGGAGGAGAGGGGGGGGGGGGGGCGAGAGAGGGGGGAAGGGATGAGGAATGGGGGGAGAAGAGGACGCACGGGGAGGGGGAGGCAGCGGGGCCGGCGAGTGGTCCGTGCCGGCGGTGGCGGTGTGGGCGACGGCGACGGCGACGGCGAGGGGTTCGGCGGTGGCGGCCGCCATGCTTGGCCTCTCTCTCTCTGTCTGCGGTGAGGCGGAGACGCGGGGTGGATTTGAGTCGGAGGCGAGGAGGAAGGAAATGCGTTGGGACGGTGGGGTTTACAGAGTTGGGTCTCGTGCTCCTCCCCTTAAATAGACCGATGGGAAACTTCGAGAAATGCGGGGATTTCTGTTGCGCCGTAAATATCTATCTGTTCATTGGCACACGCCGCGCCCAATCCCAAACACGAACACAGAACAGTGTGCTCTGCTACGTGTTATGCACTTATGTGTGGTGGTTAGGTGAAACCCCCTCTCCCCCAGCTGTTTGATCTGGGTATTTTCCTCTTACAAGCAAGTACGATAACAGGCTATACATAAGCTATAACCATATATCGAGAAGAAAAAAAAGTGATTAAAAAAACGAGCTACATATTTATAGGCAGCTGCAACACAAACTTTACGTTATGTGTGTATGAGAGGTGGGATCGGGTATTAATGGTGTATTATATTTTTATATGTAACTATTGTATGAATAGGTTATTAGATTAACTATAGATGATTTATAGCGAGTACTTGGCTATACTATTAAACTTGCTCTAACTCTCTCGGCGGCTGCGATCGTGATGACTGGGTAGTGATGGTACGATGGTGAGGTGGCCGAATTTAGTCACTTGATGATAGGGTGGAGGTGAGATGGGGGATTTGGCAGCGGTGGCCGCCATGCTTAGCCTCTCTCTCCGGTGAGGCGGAGACGAGACAAGGCGAGGCAAGGAGGAGGAAATGCGTGGGGCGGTGAGAGATGGGTGGGGTTAAGAGGGTTGGGACTCGTGCTCCTTCCCTTATAAAAGCAAATCGAAACTTCGAGAAGTGGGGTTGTTCTAAAAAAAATCGTGAAGTGGGACTTTTCCGTTTTCCCATGTTAGGTCATTGGCACACGCCACGCCACCCCTACCCCTACGAAGTAGTAATTTCGTTAGTGTGGTGGAAGGTGAAACACAAAACACAAAAGAGTGTGTTGCTATGTGTGATGGTGAGGTGAGTCCTCGAGATGCTTGATGTAGGTAATTTTTTCTTTCACCTCCTGCATGCTGCTATGTGTGGTTATAAGTATGTTTCCATTCATCAAATAGGCAATTGCTTCCCCGCCAAAAAAAAATGCCTATTGCTTGGTAAGAAACAATTCCCATGCGCATCGTTTATGGGTGTCATGTACTTACGGCAGTGCCAACTACCACTATATTTAACTTACAATGCAAGCATTTATATTTAACTGAATGTCATCATAGAAATTAAGCGAGGAAATAAATCCTAGGATGGATAGAAATTCGAAAAGGGAGATTGATAGAATTACCTCAAAAGAAAGGGTGGAGATGGTGGTCGTTGTTGAGTGGCCAACTAACCCCCGGTTGTAGATCGTCACATCATTGGTGGCCAAGACACACATCAGCAGTGGCATGACGAAGACCGTATTCCAAGATGAGGAAGGCTCAACCGTGATAGGGAGAGTGTCGGGCATGAGTCCATGATTGTGGAAAAGGGAACTGGAAGAGATCTAGCAAAGCGAGGGTTTGCTCACCATTCACCAAATGGGGCTAGGGTGTGACCTATGTGCGGCGGTGAGGAACGGGGATTGGGATCTGGGAAGGAAGAACCATAGCATTGTGTCGACGGGGGATACCCGTGGACCGGATACATAAGGTATTGGGTTACGCTGGTACGAGGATCTACGTAGTACGACATCAAGCAAATAGGAAACATGGATTATATTGGTTCAGGCCCCTTGATAGGTAATAGCCCTAATCCAGTTGATACGGGATTATATGATGGAAACCACATATTACAAAGGGAATAATGGAACTCGATGATACCGACGAGACCGTAGTCGAGTTGGTCCGACTAGATCACCCGGCGACTTGGCTCCTACAGGCTTCGACTTCGTAGGCTGTGACGGTTGTGTTGGCGATGATATTCGATGCCTTAGGCCCTTCCGGGGGGTCCCTTTTATACCACGGGTCAGTTGATCTCCAAGTAGAACTCGGAGAAATCGGACCCCACGCGATACAGTAACGACCCAGTTCTATCCGAGTAGGACTCCTTCCATCCGTAGACTCTGTTTCTGTTACGTGATGGATTTCCTTAACATGTACCGGAAACATCCGTACACGCGCAGGTATACCGTATCAGTATATAGCATACATCCAAGGGTAGAGGGTATACCTTATCCGTAACCCTGACAGTAGCCCCCGACATCTACTTAAATGAACTCATGTGACCGATCGCGACTTCTGATGTTGGAATCGTTGTCGCTCTCAACTGGTCGATCTCGGTATGAGAACCATAGAGACGTAGAGTTATCGATAACATTGCATGAAGTTCAACGGTCATGAGTGAATTTAAATTGAAGTACGAAAACTGCTGCGCGTAACGGACCTAGAAATTTCCGGCGGCCATCTCTCTCCTTTCCTTGGAATTCGCACCATCAGTAGTGCGCTTATTTAAGGGAGTTTTGGGGATCCATTTTGAAGTCCGTTTGCTGCAAAACTTTCCAGCCTTCAAACATCCCTCTTCTTCTCCGCTTCTGTAGAAAAACCCTAGCTTTCCCATCTTGTCCTGTTCTCCGGCGATCTTCCGGCAGTGATGGACCTCGACAAATCCACCTCCACCAATGCGTCCCTGAAGAAGCTGCAGGACGACGGTGCCCTCCCTGGTCGCGGGACCATGCAGAGGGAAACAGGAGGTACTGACCCTGAACCTGTCCTGGGCCGCATGGTTGCGGTTGAGGATTACATTCTTTGCGGTTTTCTTCCTCCGCCTTCCGAGTTTCTTCTTCTCGTCTTGAATTTCTACAGCCTTTCCTTGCTTCATCTGAACCCCAATTCTATCGCATTTCTTAGCATTTTCTCCTATCTTTGTGAGGCCTACATTGGGGTAGAGCCATTTCTTGATCTCTTCCGCTTCTACTATGAGTTGCGCTGGATGGAACCTAAAAAGGTATCCGGATGTGTCGGTTTCTGACTTCGGGATGGCCTGAAGTCACGATACATCCCCTTCCAGTGCCCCTCTTCAAATAGAAAATTCAGATCCAGTCTTTGTTGTCCCTGAGGAACAACCAGACAAGATTACGGAATGGACCGCCAAACCCGCCCTAACTCCCTCCCTTCGGTCTTTCATCAATATCATCGATGACCTCCGAGTACGAGGGTTATCGGGGTATGAAGTTGCTGCCGACTCCATCGGTAGGCAGATCCAGCCGCTCCAGGCTCGAGCCCACCCAGCCTTTGACTATTCTGGGCCGGAGGACGCGACCCGGGTTTCTCCTCGGGGTATTTTTCTTGCAGAGAAAGTCTTTCAGTCTATGGACTGGCGTTGGCCGTCCTGGTAGTCTTTATGTCCTGTAAAAATTATCTCAAGGAGACGTGTAATATTTTTGGAGCAATTATGAATTGTAAGAAGCACTTGTTAAATAGAAAAGGAATCTATCTAACTAAGTTTTCTTACTCTGGATATGTTGTGTGTGAGTGTTTTCTCATTTCGTGACTTCGATCAGTCGCCTGAGTCATACACTCTCCCTAGCCCCCAGCCTTGTTGTCGGAGAAACATTCTCGGAGGATAAGGCTCCTGGACCCTTGACCTGCCTCGGTTGAAAAAGCACTGACCCTAGCCCCCAGCCGTGAAGTTGGAAAACTCAGTTTCCGATTACACGGCTTGGTTAATACGCACGGCGAGAACTCTTACATGACCAGATCTTACATGGTCGTTTGTCTCTACATGATCCGACAAGGCCTTATCCGCTCTGGGCGTCCCCAGCCGAAGTTCTCTTAGGTTCCTCAGAGGCCTTGTCAAGACGGCGTAAAGGGACATGAGGATAGGTTTCAACGCTAGGTGTCGTCGTGGTAAGGGATCATCGGGAAGGAACACTTTGATTGTGATCTTTACCTGAAAATAAACTTTATTGAAGCTATAAGATGTCTTACAAGTATGGATACTATTAATTTATTCATAGAATTTACGTAATTGATCAATGTTCGAAGAATTTGCTAACTCGCGACCATCGCCGTCTGCAATCTTGAATGCACCTGGCCGCAAGACTTGCGTGATCGTGTACGGTCCTTCCCACTTGGGTGAGAGCTTGTTATGCCCTGCTTGGCTTTGAACCCATCGGAGGACGTAGTAGCCGATCGAAAGCGTGCGTGCTCAGATGCGCTTCTCGTGGTATCAACGAAAGGCCTGTTGGTAGCTGGCTGCTCTGACGGCAACTCTTTCTCGATGTTCCTCGAGTAGATTCACATCGTCGTTTCGCTGCTCCTCCTGATCCTCGTCGGAGTACTTCTGTACTCATGTGCTCTGATGTTGTAACTCATTGGGGAGCATGGCTTCTGAGCCGTACACGAGGAAGAAGGGTGTCTCCTTGTTGGACGTTGTCGGTGTGGTACGCATGGCCCATAGTACAGAGGGAAGTTCTTCAACCCACTTCTTGTCATGTGACATCAGTCTGTCGTAGACACGGGTCTTGATTCCTTGTAGTACTATGGCGTTTGCCCTCTCGACCGTCCATTGCTCTGAGGGTGAGAAACCGAGGCGAAGCAGATCTTGACTCCCAATCCAATATAGTAATCCTGGAAGTCGGCACTGATGAACTGGGAGCCGTTGTCCGTTATGATGCAGTGAGGCAATCCATATCTGCAGAATATCCCTTTAATGAATTTGACGGTGTTGTCGGCCTTGATTTCCCCCGTGGGTGTCGCTTCGATCCATTTGGTGAACTTGTCGATCGCCACGAATAGGAACCTGTAGCCACCCTGTCCTCGTGGGAATGGTCCGAGTATGTCGAACCCCCAGCACGAGAACGGCCAAGTAAGAGGGATAGTCTGGAGCGCTTGCGCTGGTAGCTTTGTGTGTTTACTGTGAAATTGGAAGGCTTCACACCGCTGAACCATGTCGCAAGCGTCTTTGAGGGCGGTCGGCCATAAAAACCCTTGTCGAAAAGCTTTTCCGACCAATGTGCGACCGGCGGCGTGTAACCCACAGATCCCTTCGTGTATGTCGAGGAGGAGATGTTTGCCGTCGTCGGACGAGACGCATTTGAGAAGTAGCCCGTTTAGCGCCTTCTTGTATAGATCGTTGTCGATCATATAG